GCCGCGGGGCACCCGGGCGCGGGGCGAGGTCCCCACGGCCGGGGTGGGGCCGGAGCACCGGGAGGCGGCCGGGGACACCCGCGTGTCACTCTCACACTCACCGCTGTGCAGCGTGGACTCGCAGAGCCAGCTCTCCAAGTTGCCGGGCTTGCGGCAGGACTCCCACAGGGACAGGTAGTACTGGTGGTCCGCCGTCACCCAAGCGGGGCTCAGCACGGCGCCCAGGTCCAGGCACAACGCCAGGAAGATGCACACCAGTCCCACCAGCTTCAGCGGGGTCAGCACCGAGACGCGCACCTCTTCCATGCCGCTGCCGGACGAAGCCATGGGGCCGGGGGGAAAGAGGGAGGAGGAGCGGGAGGACGCGCTGCCGCCGGCCCCGAGGGGAACAGGAGCCACAGCCCCGGCAGCCGGCAGGAGAAGCGGGAGGAGCGCTGACTAACGGCGGGGAGCGGCTTTGGCAGGCGGCGAGCGGCAGCCGGCGCCACTCCCTCCTTCCTCGCTGAGTTCCCGCCCCGGTGTATCAGGTGCAGCAGCTCCCCCTAGGCGGCCCCAGCTCCACGCCGCCCGGCCCGTCTCGATTCGACCCGGCCGAGCCGTCCCGCCGCGCTCCGCCCCCTGCCCGCCCCCTGCGGGGGGATGGCGCGCTGCCCGGCCCGCTACGGGTGAGGCCTTGGGGGTAAAGTTTGGAGAGCGTTCTGCGTGAGGACCGGGAGCCAGGGGACACCCAGCTCCAGCTCAGGTGTGGGGTTAGCGGTGCCAGAGCTTGGTTCCTTGTCTGAAATGACCGTTAAATTGCAAGTTATCAGCGTAAGGAAAAAGAAAAAAAAATCATGTTTTCATAGTTTGCGTGTGGACGTGCTGGTAATTCCCACTCCCATCGGCTGTGTTTCAGATCCCAAATTAAATCTTGAGAAAGGATGGGATGCCCAGCCTTCATTTCATCTCTGTTTATTTTGTGTAATTAGCATTACAGCACTGAGAATGCCAGAGGTGAGTATTTAGGTTAGTTATTAAGCACAGGTACTGCTGTAACTCACTGTCTAAAGCAGCTCTGCCCTCATGAGATACAGGAGCACAGACACAGGGTATTCATAATGTCCATTAAAGAGTACTGAAGAAGATTAATCCCCCTCAGATTTGAAGGACAGCACTGTGACTTCAGCCTTCAGAGTTAAGGCACAAATATAAATATGGGAAGGGGGAAATCGAGCCCAGAAAGCCACCATCTGGTGTATAAATCAATCAGTAAATAGACTGCGCCAGAAATACAAATTATTATATCTCTGTTAATATTATTTAGTCCTTTTTTTTTTCTTCCCTCCCTCTCCCTCTCTCTCCCCTATTTCGATTTTCTTTCAAAGGTCCTGATCTGTTTTAACTACAGGAATATTCTCAATAATTTCAAAAGGTACAAGTCTAAATCTTATTGGTTTAGACAACTTCTTCACTCTGTTTCTTTTTTTTTTTTTCTTTTTTTTTTTTTTTTGTAGTCTTTTAAAGCAGAAATAAAACGAATGAATATTGTTCATATTGCAGACTCCTGAAGATGACCAGCTTTGCTATTACAGCTGTTTATAGGAAAGTAAAAGGCGTGGTTCAGGTTTCTCAGTTAGACTGCAGTAGGTAACACAGGTTTTGCAATAATTTCTCCTTTTTGTTTAGGTGCCTCCTCTGTTAAAAACAGCCACCAAAGCTCAGTGCCTTGATTCCAGAATAGGTGCATTTGGATGCAGGGACAGTTCTAACAGCAGTTGGGTGAGTGTCTACACCATAAGCATTTGTGAAGTAGCCATTCCATAACTAGTCCTGAAGGAGAAATGCTTTTCCCTGACCTGCTACTGCTAAGATTTGAAAGGAAATGAAATCAGTGTTTTATTTTCTGAAATAGCTTGAGTAAATATGTAACAGACATTAACACGTTAGCCAATTAGTTTGTTTAAGTCATGTTTCTATTACCTCTCAATTATAGAATGTTAAGTATTTGGAGAACATAACAAATATAATTAAAATAAAGGGGAAGGGTTTAAAAATTGATAAAAAAGAGAGTTGTGCCAAGCTAAGCACACCATCTCAAAACCATCTGAAATGTAGAATCATGGTTCTATCCTAATGTTGGAGAAAATACCAACAGCTGAAATATGGAAACAGAAATAGCACTGGTATCCATAGTTAATGTTCCCAGCACTTTCTGTACAAGACTCAATTTGTTTTTACTTAATTAAACTCTCACTGCTAGGGCTGAAGTTGCCTCTGCAAGATATCTGCCTCAGGTTGATTTTAAGTTCTAGATGAAGTTCAGTGATAGGGAGGCTGACAAATATATGTATTTACTGTATATGAAAAGGAAAAAATAATAACAATATTTAAAAAAAAAAAATACTTTCAATGAATTTCTCACTGAGAAGAAAGCTGACATACCACCCCAAAACACAAAAACAACCACAACCAACATGCCATGCACACTGCATTCTGTTAAAAGCTGTTGTGTCTGAATGAGCTGTGTATCAGCAATTGAATGCTGTGGCATGCTCCAGCCTGGGCATTCGAAGTTGTGAAGGGTCTGTAGCATAAGTCTTATGGAGGGTGGCTGAGGAAGCTGGGATTGTTCAGTCTGGAGAAGAGGAGGCTCAGGGGAGACCTCATTGCTCTCTACAACTACCTGAAAGGAAGATGTGGTGAGGTGGGGATCAGCTGCTTATTCCAGGTAACATCAATAAGATGAGAGGAAAGGGCCTCAAAATGTGCCAGAGGAGGTTTTGATTGGATATTAGGAAAAATCTCTTCTCACAAAGTGGTGAAGCAGTGGCACAGGCTGCCCAGGGAGGTCGTGGAGTCACTGTCCCTGGAGGTGTTGAAGAGCCGTGTGGATGTGGCATTGAGAGACATGGGCAGTGGGCAAGGTGTGATGAGCTGGTGGTTGGGCTAGATGGTCTTAGAGGTCTTTTCCAACCTTAATGATTCTGTGGTTCTATTCTATTATTTTGGCCGCCTGTTTGTCCTGGAAGAACCTGGGAGAGCTCACTTGGAATATGAGAAAGAGCAGGGAGATTTCCTCACTTCATAGATGTTCGACTTGAGGAACAGCAGTGGGAACAGAAGTGATGGGACTGCTTGGTCCTAAGGTACAGTCAGGTATCAAGGCCAAATTGGTGAGAAGGCAGCCTGGGCTTCACAGAGGGCTGTAAAGAAGGAGGCAGAGACAGCATGAGAGTGTGAGCACAGATTAAGTGAACAGAGGCAAAATAGGAAAAGCCAGAATGGAGAAAGTGAAATAGCACAGTTAGTAACAAAATAACAAGCACCACTGCTTCAGAAATATTTTCTTTGAATTTCCGAGTACTGTGACTATCTTTTTTCCTTTGGTTAATGGGTATTAAATCAACTAGAAAATCTCTGCCCTGCCTCCCTGGGTGGTTGGCCTAAAGAAGAAACAGCTACTGAAACTATTATTTCAAGTGACAAAGGTCTCTTGTGTGTCACTATGATGGCCTAACTTTTGCTGAAGGCTAAGTTGTGGGTCAGTGTAATTTCACACAATGTGCACTGCAGAAATTACCCATTTCTGAAGCATCAGAATGACTTACCTGGATTGAGACTTGGGAGCTCCTACTGATAAATGAAATCAGTTACAAGCATGTTTTAAACATGTAAAATATTACAAACTTGTTGACTATTCCCAAATATGAATTTCAAAGCACCCAAGTTTCTCTTATCACCAGTGAACTGTTCAGATAATTCTCAATAATTCTGTACATGGAATTCCTCTTATAAAACCATCTCCAAATCTTTCAGAGATGTTCATTATATTTATGATAAAAACTCGTGTGCTCTTCTCACAAAGACCATAGTAGCAGAATTAATAGTGCTGCATCAGCAAAAAAGTTAGTATGGTGGTAAAATGCAATAAAAAAAATCACAAAGTTTCTAAGAGGTATTGACTACCTGCTTTACCTCTTTGGAGAGGCAAGGATCTTATGCAAACACAGTGCATGCTCATATACTAATTTAGTATGTCAGCCTTAACCTTTATGCAGTACCTTTCTAGGAACAGATGAATTAAAGTCAGCTAAACCTTTTCATTTCTTAAAAGATATACTTTAGGACAAAGTATTTTTGATACAATATGCTGTTATATTTGTATTTTAAAATAGAATAATTCTGATTAATAGCATTTCCAACCTAGTTTTTTTTTAAGATATTTAAAAATGTTTTAAAAGTAAACATTGTAGCAGCTTAGTTTTAGATTATCCCTTGCTTTTCTCTGTGTTTTATTTTTGTTTGTTTGTTTGTTTTTCTCCAGCTTGTCCTTTGACTATTTTCTCTTATTTTCTTTCCTACCTCCTATTTTTCTTTTGGTGCTTTTTGTATCTCTTGCAGACTCAATAACCTAGGCTGGAACGAGACCCTCAGAGGTCATCCAGCCCAGCTTCAATGCAGGTGTGATCAGATCAATCTGTCCAGGGCCATGTCCTCTTGAGGCAGAAGCATCTCCAAGGAAGGAGATGCCACAACCTTCCCAGTACATAGCACAGTGATGTTTCAACACCCTACTAGTGAAAAGCTTTTGCAAATATCTAATTATAATTTCTCATGTTACATCCTTTTCCTGTTGCCTTTTGTCCTATCACCTCTTATTCCCAGAGTCTGGAACCATCATTTTGTGTCCACAGGAATGTGTCAGGAAGCAATAAGTTCTCCAAAACCCTCTTTTCTCTGAGCTGAACAAGCCCAGCTCACAGCTTCTTCTTGTATGCCATGTGCTCTGATCTTCCTCATTGACCTGTACAGGACTAGCGCCAGTATGTTAATATCATTCTTGTACTGTGGAGCCAAAATTCTGGACAGATCATTCTGGATATGGCCTCACAAGTCCCAGAGTCATACAGAATGGCTGAAGTAGGAAGGAATCTCTGGAGATCACCTAATTCTCCTCAAGAAAGGAGACCCAGAGCAGGTTGCATAGGAAAAAAACAGGCAGGTTTTGAATATCTCCATAGAAGGAGGCTCTAAAACCTCTCTGGGCAACCCTTTTCAGTGCTTTGTCACTCTCACAGTAAGGTTTTTCCTTACGTTCAGAGAGAGCTACTTGTGTTTCAGTTTGTGCACATTACATTTTCTGTGCATCACTGAAAAGAGCCTGACCCTGTCCTCTTGACACCCTCCCTTAAGATATTTGCACACACTGATAAGATTCCATTCTCATTCGTCTCCAGCCTGAACAGTCCCAGATCTTAGCCTTTCCTCAAACAGGAGATGTTCCAGACCCCCAATGGTTTTTGTGGCCTTCCTCTGGACTCTCTCCAGCAGTTTCCTGTCTTTCTTGAACTGAGGAGCCCAGAACAGGGCATACTCTTCAGATGTGTCGTCATCAGGGCAGAGCAGAGGAGGAGGATCACCTCCCTTTACCATGCTTTTTTTAATGCTCCCCAAGATACCAGTGGTTTTCTTGGCAGCAAGGGCACACTTCTGGCTCATGGTTAGCTTGCTGTCCACCAGAACTTCAAGGTTCTACCACCAAGATGGTTTTCCACAGAGATGGG